ACAAATGTGGCAGGTCAGAAAAATAGTCCGCATAGGTCCAACAATATGTAACCGTAAAATTTAATAGTGTAGTCTGATGAGGGGAAAAAATGTTGGGAACAGGAACTTTCACTCTACCTTACTTGAATAGAGATACGAAAAATGCACACTGACACGATTTCAAGTCACTGCATTATTTTCAAAATTAATGATTTAAATCTATTTGGTGATTTTTGAAGGAGAAAATAAAATTGTGAAGGGGTTTACAGCCACTTGATTCATATTGTTCACCAACTTTCTGGATTACTTGTCTTACATTTTATCTCATGTGCTTTTCATTGAGACGCTCTTTTATTCACTACTTTTACAGCAAGGTGAACCTTCTCCACAACTATCTTGTCTACAATACTTTTCTCCATAGAACACCTATTTTTAGTCCCAGGATTTTCCCCACTTGATCCGGATTTTTCTAAAAAAATTGTTCCTCATCCCTTGAATTTTGTCAGGGAGTCCACCTGAATTACATATGACATGCAAGTAGCTGTTCGCATAACTTCTCTAAATTTGTTGTCCAATAAGCACGTTTAAAATTTGTTACTCAATCTTATATAATGGGCTCCAAATATGTTCTTGCACGAAGCAGCCACATTGCCCACACCGTACCAGTGCCGGTTTGTACATCCGCATTTTTCACATTTTTTGCGATGTTGAAATGGCAGGGGATCATTCAAACTGACCCTTGCCTACATACTCCTGTGTAATAAAAAGAAAAGGTTCACAACACTTCACTTTGATCCTCATCCATCCGCAACTCAAATCTGGGCCAACAAATCAAGCATTACAAGCAACACATTGTCTAAAACATTTCAAGTTTATTCCAATTCACAACGGAAGCGATTCGACGATACACAATTTGAAAAAACATCGTAGAGCGGCTGACATCACCATTCTAGCATATTCATCGCGAACAATGACTTTTATTCGCACTTTCCACAAGACAAAAAGCATCTCCTTGCTCCTTTACAGAGACCAAAAATTGCGCCAGAGGAAGAATGTACACGAACATATAAAACTTCCCATAATTATGACTCAATAACGCCTCATTCAAATAACACCGTCACAAACGGACGAACGGAATGTCTTCAGCAACAAAATATTTCTACTTTGATTCTTTTGTGAGAATGTTCAGTACCTGTCCTTTGTCAGACTGGTCATTTCGGAGTCCTTCAGTCGCTGAATTTCTTCAAGATCACGGAACTTCTCACTTTCTTTGATGTGTGCGTAATTTGCAGAAAGGCACATCAAATAATTTACCTGCAAATGAATGGGTCCATCAACTTGCATGAAAACGATTCGACACAGAAGGATTTCTT